CGTTTTATGCACCGACGAAATGATGACTAATTTTCCAATTGGTGATGAAATTATGGATAATGTCACCATCTTGTACGTTATTGATGCTTATTTACTTAACTTAGATACATTAGAAATAGAATATGATGTCTTAAATGACGTTTTTATTAGGTTAAGATCCATTAAGATCGCACTATGTAATTCTCATATTACGAACCTAAATTATTAACTGGTAAAATATAACGATGATCGATTAATAAAATATTACTTACCTTAGACAGGTTACTGGGACGAATATTCGCCGTATAAGAAATCACGATTTAAACAACTACTCTAGTCTTGTTCAACTGTACGTTTTCCACAATGGAAACGCGTTTAAATGTTTAAATACAAATTATAACACGAGTGCCGAATGCATTTCATCTACTTTTACTTTCATTCAATTTCAGCACATTTAGAAACATACTAAAAATTCTAAATAGTTTATCATTATTATAATAGAGATTTAAGAAATAATAAAATAGAAGTAATTGAAGGTGGAGCATTTACAGGTCTACTAGAATTAAAGAGCTTGTAAGTGAAAGAATTCTTTATATTATTTATTTTGCTAATAGCAACTAAAGTCAGTTATAATAGTTCGTTATCGTGTAGCTTACGATGCGAAATGATTTAGTAGTAGATTGAATTACACTTATATTATTCAAAAGGATGCTGGATTCGAATTTATTGCAGACGTTGACTTCTATTTCGACATTTGAAGATTTGGAAAATTTACAAACTTTGTAAGATGATTTTAGTTTATCTTTATAGAACATTATGCTATGTTCTGTAGCAGTAAAAGGTTGCTACCGAAATTTTGCAATGATCTGAACAAAACATGTTGTTAATGATTATAAATACAGTAGCAATAGATAATTTTTAACACTAAGTGAGTAACTTTATATGCAGTACTATACCATAATACTTGGAACTACGATGCCTTTACGTCATTCATTTATTGCAGTATGTCACTTTTACTAATTAAATATAATATTACATCAAAACTACTAGATCTATTACCAGAAATAGGCTTTATTTAATAGCAGATGGAGTATTTCTACCACTTTCAAATTTAACGACACTGTAAGTTGTTCTCGTTAAAATATTAGTATTACTTAATTTGAGTAAGTAAGAATTCTTTTTAGTTAATAATGTGTTAAAATTGACTGCTATGATTTATATAATACCTGTCTCCATCTAGGTGGTATTACACCTGATGAATGTAGGTATAAATAATAAATTTATTGAATATCATTTTCCGATGTAGTTCTTTGGACACAAATGAAATAAGTAACTTACAAGATATTGGCTTTAGAGGATTGAGCAAGTTAACTTATTTGTAAGTTAAGTATAGTATACTAGAGCGGATCAAATATCGAATTCTTTCATCAACTAGAAATAAATGAAGAGCTATAATTTATCGACAACTACGGTACTCTATCAAAAGGGCAATAACAGATAACCGAATTCACGAAGTGCAGGAAGGGGTATTTCGAAATATGCCATTGTTGAAGAGATTGTAAGTTGCAAGTAGATAGAATTGATGTCATATTTCCTTCATGAAAAAGCGATCACTAAGAAATAAAACTAGATTTATGTAGTAAATAGAATGCATTTGTATCGGTTAGATACCTTAATACAAACTTAATTGCAAAAGTTAGTCAGAAAAGCTGGGATGGCATCGAAGACTTGTACCTACTGTAAGTTACATATAATTGATTTAAAATCCTTGTAGCTATTAACCTTAAAGATTGAAAGGCTCTATCTCTAATTAGACTACGATACTACGCGAAAATTGAGTATAGTTAGATCTTAGTGTTTATTAATTTGAAAGTTGCATTTGTATATCTGAATATTAATTATCAGTAAAATAACTAAATAGCTGAAAAACAAAACAAAGTTATGAATCTGATGAGTTATGATTGCAGGAGTCTCGCTGCCAACACCATAAAAAATTTGACTAACTCTGTGTTTTCCAAGTTTGTAAATATGGAAGTTCTGTAAGTTGGTAGCAAATTTTTATGACTACCAATTTAAAGTAAATCCTTTTCGTTCGAATTAATCCATCAGGACTAAAGATTTTTAACATTTATACCTATTTAAACTTGATTATAAATTTTTATAATCAACGTATATAATAAGTATCGAATATTTTTCGATTGAATGATCATGTAACTAAGTTTGCATTAAGTTCGTTGAACATTTATTTCAAACAGCCCTTTTTGTAGAGTATTGTAAATTTAAAGTACTTTTGGTAAATAAGTAAACTCCATTAATGGTCATTGAATATAATTTTAAACTAGGAGCGTCAGTTTAAATGACTTCCTGGATTTGGAAAATTATATGTTCTCTGAACTTTCCAGCATTAAGCGCCTGTAAGTCAATGAGAATTTAGAACTATTATTTAAGACATCAGAACATCAAATACTTAACTTTGTTGAAAATTTCCTTCACTATTTGAACGTCCTCTCTATCTAGATCATTGTATGGCAATGAATTAACAATCGTTAGAAGTCACTTATTGTATGGAATGTGGAATTTGGAGTTACTGTAATGCTTGCCAAAATAATAGCAATTTACATATCAGACTTATAACTTTAGAATAAATTAAAAATTTACTTTATTATCCTTATTAATAATTTATTCAGATCGCATCATTTTTTTACATTTTTAGGAGATTATTCAGCAATAAAATAGAAATAATCGAACCTAGAGCATTCGCCAATCTCACTAAACTAAGTTATATGTAAGCTACTTTATAAACATTTAAATTTCGTGCTTTTATAGAACAGATGCTGTTGTAAAACTTAATATCAACTATATAAACAATAAATTAATATCTCAGCAATAATGTAGCACAAGGTTCACTAAACAAACTTAATTCATTTATTTCCCAAAATCTATGCCAGATAAAAGATAACAACTTCGATTTAAAGTATTTAAATGTTTCAAATTGTTGTAACATTGCACATTGCACGATATTTATTAAATGAAAAACTTCATTTTCTCCTCATTTATTTAATATGACGCTAGTCTTAAGTTTTACTGCGATACTGTCTGAATGTTATTACGTTATTTGTGATATTATTACATTTATCAGTTTGCAAAGCATTTATAGTCTTTTATCACACTACGTATGCAGTAGAAATTTATTAATATTTGATATTTTGATGTTGGCTAACAGTTATGAATTTATGGAGAATAGTATAAGACTAGTAATTAGTTTTATAACATACATGAGCTAGTCACATTCTTGTAAGATGATTTTAGCCGATAAATGTTTCAAGGTGAATGTTAATAATTAAAGTTGAAAATCTACTTTTGATTTTAGTAATTTATCTTGGAACAGACTTGTGTCGGTCAGCAGCATCATGTTTGGTAACCTACCTTCCCTAAATCGATTGTAAGATTTTGTTAGCATTAACTGAGCAATCAATTCCAACTACAGCTACGTAGCTATCTTGCAGAAATTAGCATTAAAGCGATATCATGTCTCTTTCAGAATTATCACTGATAACTATGTATCTACTATCAGCTCCACAGCTTTTGTAGGATCATCCAAACTTCAGACACTGTAATCGATTATACGATTTAGGCTACTTTCTTAGGTATTGAACAATATTCTAAACCTATACTTCTATGTAAGGGAATTATCAGGGAATGGAATTAGCCAAATATCAAATACAACATTTTCATACCTTACTCACTTATCGAAACTGTAAGTTATGCCAAAGACTGCACTCTGTTATAATTATTCAGATTTTTAAGACAGAAAAAATTTCTTAAATTACTTAGTGACATGAGAGTTTGCTCCATAAACGACATTGAAGCCAACTTATTTTCTAATAATGCTATGCTTAAAACTTTGTAAGTCACTATTCTTATAATCAGATTTTATATTCTGTTATAAGTCTTAATAGAGATATTCTAGTCGTTTTAGGAATAAAAATATTGCTGAGGATATCTTTTTTATTTCCTACACCAGAGACATGAGCGGATGCAAAATTCAAAGTTTGTCTGAAAATGCATTTGCCAATCTTACATCACTAAAGATACTGTAAGCTCTACACTGTAGATTGATAACCGACTTCAATAGAGAATACTTAAATTACGATGTTACTTGAAACATTAGATTTTCAATTAATTAAATACTGAATATTAAGTACTAAGTATTTTTAATGCCTACAGTTAAATTATAGCAATTATTGCTATTAATATTATTTGCCTAAAAAATTATTCAAGTTTGCTAAGAAATGGCCATATTATTGAAGTATCCTTTACTATCGCAAAAATTTAGGGACCTATCGTCTACTTTATTAAATTCAATACCACCTAAAGTCTTTGGCAAGGCAAATGGGACCGTGTTGGAGAAATTGTAATGCTAACAAAGCAGAACTTATTGCCCGTTAAAAAATTTATTGCCGCATTACACACTATTATCGATTCTTATACCAAAATAAGGAAAATACGTATATCCATTCATTGGATATAAACTGTCTTTAAGCTTTAGGTTAACTGGATATTTTCTTTCATACTTCTGTAGAAATCTACATAACAGCTTCATTACGAGTGTTGACGAAGAGGCATTTAATCCGTTAACAAATTTAAAAATACTGTAAGCCAGCATAAATATAGCCTACTGTTAGAGCGTAATCTACTAATGACCTATAAGTTATAAGTACATACTAGTAAAATTTTTCTATAAAGTATCTACGAAAATATCATCGGGATACAGAGCAACCCTATTCATGCAAGATCTGGTATATACTAAATATCATTTAATCCAGGGTTATAAATTTTAACTTAAAAAATGATTTTTTAG